GTATTTAAAAATATTCTTCCAGCACAAAGACATTAATCTTCCTTTGTCAAAATTATTCTGTCTGCATGAAAAGTTGGCATGGGGCCCCCAGGCCTCAGGTAAGATGGGAGAGAGGGAGTATTTTTTTTTTTTTGTACCAAAGTACTCAACCTTCTGACCTTCCTTGACTTTCATACCATAGGCATATGTCTACTCTGACTAGTTTGTTTCATTTATTGTGGTAAGATGTGCTTGTCTTCTGCTTTCCTGGTGCAGAAAAGGAGCTGCCTCACTCATGCTTGGTGGCCTTTTTGTTCCTACACACAGTGGTTCTCGTACACGGTGGCTCCCGCACCCTGGTGTTTGTCTGTACTGGGAGAATCAGGCGTTCCAAGTCATCTTGGCTGCCCTAGCTCTGAGCTTCAGGGAATATATGACTCAGAAATGCTATGCTTTCTGGAATTTGGATATTTCATCCGTTTTTATTTGTTTCTTGGTAACTTCTCTTTTGACTTAGGAGAAGCTAATTATTTAAAAGGGTCTCTCAGAACTCTAATTACAAATATATGGTGCCTTTTTTATATTGATCTCATTTTAAATATCTAGTTCTGGAGGAAGAGCTAAATATGAAGAAAGTGATGAGCCATATAGGGGACCTCACAGGAACACAGTCACATTTCAAGTTGAAAATATATTAAGTTGATAATACTTAGTACTAGATTCTCCTGAACTGACTTTGAGAATTCAGAGTCAACCTAAGGACTATATTACAAAGGATCAGGACTTGACTTTTGGGCCAGGTGTAGTGGCTCACACCTGTAATCCCAGCACTGTGGGAGGCCAAGGCAGGTGGATCACTTGAGTCCAGGAGGTTGAGACCAGCCTATGCAACACAGCGAGACGCTGTCTCTGCAAAAAATACAAAAATTAGCCAGAGGTGGCGTGCCATGTGCCTGCAGTCCCAGCTACTGAGGAGGCTGAGGTTGGAGAATCAGCTTTAACCCCAGAGATGGAGGCTACAATGAGCTGTGATCGTGCCAGCCTGGGCAAAAGCAAGACCCTTTCTCAAAAACAAAAACAAAAAAGACACAGAACTTGACTTTTTAAGAGGAGGCATGGTAATAGCAAGCATCAGATTGTTTTAACATAGCATTTTAAGATACATAATTTACACATTTAGAAAATTAATTCTGGTTGGTTGCAGTGGCTTTTCCTTAATCCCAACACTTTGAGAGGCCAAGGCAGGAAGATTACTTGAGGCCAGGAGTTTGAGACCAGCCTAGGCAACATAGCGAGAACCCCCTACTCTACAAAAATATTTTAAAAACCATAGCTGGGCATGGTGACACACGCCTGTAGTCCCATCTACTCAGGAGGCTGAGGTGGGAGGCTTGCTTGAGCCCAGGAGTTTGAGGGAGCTGTGATCACACCCCTCCACTCCAGCCTGGGCAACAGAATGAGGTCGTATGTCTAAAAAAAGACAAATAGAAAAGATAATTAATTCTGTGTTGCTTGAAGCCCAGCTAAATAGAAAAATAAAATTTCTAATAGGTCATTTTAAAGACGTTGGGAAAATTCTTAACCAGAGTAACAGAAACAATCCTCTCTTTCTTGGTGCTCTCACCTATCTCTATTCTCACCTTCATTCCCCTTCTAATCCATTCATTTCAAGTATTTTTCTTTTCTGTGTGTATCTCTATGTAAATTTAAATTTACATACAAGATATTACAATATTAAGATATTTCATTCTGCTTCCTGTTTTCATCACTTGTCGAAGTCCTTGGCTCCACGTATATCTAATTATTGCTATAATCCCTGCATAGTACTTCACATTCACCGTATTCAACCATTCACCCTCCAGTAGTCACTATTATATGTCACATTGTTGTAGCAACTACAAATGCAAGCTCAGTAATTGAAAAGTTAACATTAGATTTTATTGTTTAAGTTTCCTCTGTCAATTTCATGTTTCGGGAATTTGTATGGACAGATAGACACCAGAGAGAGATGTATATTTCACCTGCATACTTGAGGCTAGAGATACATGATTTATGAACTATTTCAAAGATTGTAACTAACCTGGTTATTTTCTTTAGGAAAACATTAAATTCAGAATAGAAGGCAATTCAGAATACCTGTCTGTTATCTCTGTCTTGTCATTTTTGTGATACACAGTTCCTGGAAAGTATTATGATAATCCATCTTACTAGGTAGTATTTCAAGTTATATGTTGAGCTTCTGAGCTTTCAGAGTGAACATTTCTATTTATAGACAGTGCTGTTGACATCAGTGGGGAGATGGCACAGGCCTTGTACTCTAGGAAAGTCTAGAATATTACACTGAAAACCCTAGGTCAGGAAATTTTGTTCTAGCAACTAGGCAAGGAAACCTACCATTGTCCCCATAGCTTGTTCTTGTAGAATTATAATTTGCTAAGAAGTCCAGTGACCCTCAACACCCCATCTCAACACTTTCGTGGATCCCAAAGCCCTGGTGCCCTTAGCACACAATTTCCCAGTTACTTTTATTGTTCCTGACAAGAACTGGAATGGAGGCAGTGTCTGGTACTCACTTGGGGTGTGGACCTGTGGGTCACATTCTTGCTTCATCATTTCTTACCTGGGTGACCTTGAGTATGGTGCCTAAATCACCTCTTCCTTTCAAATTGCCTGGTCTGTAAAATGGATGCAGTGAATGGTACCTATGCCACAGGAATTTTGTGTGAGAATTAAATGAGAGGAGATAGATAAATAACACTTAGAGGCATGGTCGGCAGATAGTGAGGACTTGTTCAATGTTGTCATTTAACCCTTTCTTTCTCTACCTCTCCCCACACCCCCTCCCACCAGCAGTGTACAGATTGCAGCCTCCTGCCTCTCTCCTCCTGTCTCACTCCCTGGATGACATCCCTGCTTTTCCACCTCTCTCTCCCCTAGTCTTACCTGTTTTCCCCCCTTTCCTCAGAACATTGCCTTGACAGTTACTCAGTGTCCCATCCCCTCTTCCCATGGGCAACACCACAAACCTGCACACACTGTTTGTTAATATTCCACCTGTTTCGTATGTGTTCATTCTGTCTCATAAAGGACACTGTAGGCTCTGAAGAGCTAAGGCCTTTCTTATTATTTTGTCCCATGGAAAATAATCCCTCTGATACCAATACCAGGAATAGTGCTTTTTCTAACCCACTGGTTACCTTTTGTGCTTACAGGCACCAAATCTTAACATCTGTTTGTGTTTCTGTTCCCCTCTCTGCATTGACTGCTAGAAATCAGAGTCAATCGGGAGGTTGCATCTAGCTGGGGCACTGTGCTTTACGGCAGGTGTTTTGTGTGCAAATCTCATACCATCTTCGTTTTATAGTTGTTCCTTAGAATCAATGGGGGATTTGTTTCAGGACACCAAAATCCATGGATGCTTAAGTCCCTGATATAAAATTGCATAGTGTTTGCATATAACCTATACACATCTTACAATATAATTTTTATTTTTTATTTGTACAAATTCATGGGGTACAAATGTAATTTTATTACATGAATATATTGCATAGAGGTCAAAATCAAGGCTGTGAGTGTATCTATCACTGGAATAACATGAATTGTACCCATTAATTCCTGTATACTTTAAATCATCTCTAGATTATGTATAATAGCTAATACAGTATTAATGCTATGGAAATAGTTGTTATATTGTTAGGGGATAATGACAAGGAAAAAACCTATACATGTTCAATACACAGCAATTATTTTTTCCTGAATATTTTTGATCTGCCATTGATTGAATCCATGGATGTGGAACCCACAAATGTGGAACCCACAGATAAGGAACCCACAGATATGGAGGGCCAGCTGTGTTTATTTTTTTCCAAATTTCTTTCCCTCTGACTCTGCTTTATACACATTTTTAAACTCTGTTGTTTTGTATTTCTTTTGTAATCGTCTTAAGTCCTTTTGGAAACCAAGTAGGGCATAAGTAGCGCATATTTGCATTTGAGGCAACACAGGCACCACAGGAGCTGGAGGCAGCAAAGGTCAAAGCCAGTTCACCACTTACCTGCACAGGGGCAAGTTACCTCCACTCTCTGTCTCCATCCTCTAGCCTGTCTAGAGAGAGAATGAACCCGCCTCTGGGGCAGTTGTGCTGTTTAAATGTGATAATGCATGTGAAATGTGAAGCACCACTGTCCCTGGCATGGAGATGCTGTCCTTAGATATTAGATCCATCTTGTATCTTCTAGTGTGTCTTTAAAAATAAAGTTATACTGGCTTCATGCCTATAATCCCAGCACTTTGGGAGGCCAAGATGGGCAGATGATTTGTGTCCAGGAGTTCCAGACTAGCCTGGGCAACATGGTGAAATCCTGTCTTTACAGAAAATACAAAAATTAGCAGGGGCTTGGTGGCACGTGCCTGTAGTTTCAGCTACTTGGGAAGCTAAGGTAGGAGGATCAGTTGAGCCCAGGAGGCTGAGGCTACAGTGACCCGTGATCGCACCAATACCGATCAACCTAGTATGACAGAGCATGACTGTGTCTCAAAAAAAAGAAAAAAATTAAACTATAATGATAAATGTTTCTAAAGTAATCGATGAAAACATATATACAACACTTAGCAAGTGTTGATCAATTCCAGCGTGTGCATGAGCTGCTTTGCACATGCGGCTCAAGCACTCAGCAGTTTGCTCAGTGAGTAGTTGGCCACAGCTCACCTTAGGTATCCGGAGAATAATGCTCATTCCTGTCTTCAGCTTTGTAAAATTGCCTAATAGACAAAAGGCATTAAAACGTGAAGATGTGATTGTATCTTATAAAACTTCTTGGAGTGGGTTTTCCCTCTTAACAATTTCTGATTATCCATACTCCTTAAGAGCACTGGATTTCCGGGGCCCAGGGAGGTAAGATTCTATCTAAAGCCTTCCTGGTGTCAACCACTTGTCATCTGTTGGTCCATGCTGGCCCTACTGGAACTATAGAATGTGCTTCCTTGTCTGATGTTCCTGTTGCCCTCTCTTTCCCCATCAGCCTTGTAGCAGTACCTGGGAAGCTGCATCCTGTGGAAAGATGGAGGAACAGATGACAGCTTCCAGTCAAGCTCGTAAATACGCAAATGCATTCTCAGCCCGGACACTGGTCATGTGAGACATTTCCAGAAAAGCATTATGGTTTTCAGAACACTTCAGGTTGATTTGGAATATATCATTCCTCGACATGAAACTTTTCATGAATGGGAGAAGAACCTATTTTTGTTGTGGTACAACAGTTGAGAGCAGCACCAAGTGCATTTAGTTGAATGAAATCTTATTGGATTTCACCCAACTAAAAGGATTTTTAAAAATAAATAACAGTCTTACCTAAATTATTAGGTAATGAATTGTAACCGTTGTTAATATCTTAATGCAGATTTTTTTTAAAAAAAACATAAAATGATTTATCTGTATTTTAAAGGATCCAACAGATCAGTATTTTTTCCTGTGATGGGTTTTTTGAAATTTTACACACAAAAGGTACTCCAGTATTTCACTTTTCTTGATCACTAAACATATGCATATATTTTTAAAAATCAGTAAAAGCATTACTATAAGTATAGACTTAATACCATGAGACAGTTAATCAGGATTGTAAATGCTCATTTATGGTTAAAGACGTTGAAGGTACATTTATTGTACCAAGCCATTTTATGAGTTTTCTGTTAGCTTGCTTTAAAAATTATTACTGTATGAAATAGTTTTATAAAAAATTATATTTTTATTCCATAATTTAATTTTGTAAATGCCAAATGAAAAACGTTTTTTGCTGCTATGGTCTTAGCCTGTAGACATGCTGCTAGTACAGAGGGGCAGTAGAGCTTGAATGGAAAGAAAAGGAACTTGGTGTTAGGTAATTGACTATGCACTAGTATTTCAGACTTTTTAATTTTATATATATATATACATTTTTTTCCTTTTGTAATACATTCGAAAACTTGTTTGGGAGACCTGAATTTTTTATTGTGTGGTTTTTTTTTTTTTGTTTGTTATTGTTGGTTTATAAAAGCATGCATTGCACTTCTTTTTTTGGGAGATCTATGTTGTTGATGTTCTATGTTTTGTTTTGAGTGTAGCCTGTTTTTTAATTTGGGAGTTCTGCCTTTGATCCACATCCCCTGTGGTTTCTAAGCGTATGGTCTCAGAACTGTTGCATGGATCCTGTGTTTGCAGCTGGGGAGAAAGAAACTGTGGTTGATAGCCAATCACTGCCTTAAGAACATTTGATGCAAGATGGCCAGCACTGAACTTTTGAGATATGACAGTGTACTTACTGCCTTGTAGCAAAATAAAGATGTGCCCTTATTTTACCTACTTTTGTTTTCTCTCTTACTTGTCACTGTGGACAGCAGTTGTACTTTAAAGAAAATGGAGGAGACTCAAAGCACTTTCCTCTAATAATTTGCACACCATATGCACTTCATGTGAAGAAGCCAAGAATCATTACAACGGAGAAGAAAGAATAAGCAAACCAAGTTAAATAGTTTGCTTATTTAACTTGGACAAGGGGGAGGAATCTCTTCCAGAATGCATCAGTCAGTGTCCAACAGCATTTGAGTGGGGATGCAGTAAGGGGAGTTCATTCACAAATGTACTGATGCCACAGATGTGCGCAGAGGCTAGGAAAGCCACGGGTGCCGGCCTGAAGGCACCTGGAAGGTCACCTGGAGGGGGACAGTCCAGAAAGCAGGAGCCCTTGAGAGGAGCACTAGCCTTTAGCGAGACCACTGCCATTGAAGGAGACCTCACAGGGAGGGAGCCAAGGGTAAACCTTAACTTTGTTTCCCCATTTCTCCTATCTCTGCCCAGGGGTCTTCATTGGCAAAACCAGCCGGAAGCTGGAGGGCAAGGTAGCTCCCAGATGGGAGCCAGCCTGTGAGCTTTCAAGGGCATGCCGGAGTCATTTATTCAAAACAGCTCCATTTCACAGATGAGTCTCCGCTGGCTCCATCTTCAGCTTAGTGTTCTCTTTACTGTGCTGTAATACCCCTTTTCACATAAATTCCTTAAATTTCCTTTACTCACTCTGTTCCAACTCTGAATTCTCATAGGCATGATGCACTTGGTGTTTGTAGAGCCAAAGATTTCTTAGCCTAATTGCTAGTTTTTAAGATGCTTTCGTGGACTTTTACCGTCCTGGTGGTAGATGACATGTCACGTCCACCCAGTGTTAGGAAACTCTTTACATTCGTGCCCTCTCAGAGTGTTTCTCCAAGCACTGACTCTGCCACTTACTAGCGGTTTGAACTTAGACAAGTCACTCACCTCTCTGAGGCGTTTTCCCTTACCTGGGAAATGAGTTCTTTCCCACAGTGAAACTTTTATTAAGTAAGGCACTATGCAAATGTTTGTTATTGCATACACTTTCCACCATCCAGTATGCTTGCTATGTAGTGTGTTGAATGCCCATCTTGCTGATCGTGTGCACTGCCAGTTACACAGAGTTAGGGGTCACTTAATTATTAATAACAAGAGTGAACTCAACATCATACAGAACTGAAGTAGGTATTTATATTTCAACACATTTGCAACCCAATTACTAGAGACTCAAAACCTAACTTCATGAACAGAAGTGGAAATTTAGCTGTTATTGTCAAATCCTCATACTCACAGAACATCCAGTTCACAAGCATCTCCAGAACATTGGTTGTTCTGATCAGTTTTAAAAATCACCCTGCTTTTTACAGCAGGAATTCAGATTGTGTAAGTGAAAACAGTATTACACACTACTTAAATGAAAGGCTGCACTTGTGAGTTACTGTGTGTGAAGGTGTGTCTTCGTATGTCCATCCAGAGAACAGGAGAGCCACTGAGAAGACTGATGTGTCCCAGCCTCTAGATGGGACTGAAAATTCAAGAGAAGAGACATGCCCAGGGATAAACTTCCTTCTTTCTTTAGAAATTATACAATATTAGAGCTGAAAGGAACATTAGATATCATCAGTGCTTCCAGTAAGGGGCTCACTGCCTTGCTTTATTGAAAGAAAATCATTTTTGAAGCCCAACCAATTTTTTTTTTTTCTTTTTAAATAGAGGTGGCGTCTTGCCATACCCTTCCCTAGGCTGGTCTCAAATTCCTGGGTTGAAGCAATCCTCACACCTCAGCCTCCCAAAGCGCGGGGATTACAGGTGTGAACCACCACACCCGGCCACCAATCTTGAATTCAGACCCTACCCTTTACCAGCTGTATGACTTCATACATGTTTTACTTAATCTCTCAAAGTTCCATTTTACTTACATTTTAATTATACCGGAGATAAAAATACATCTCAAGTCAAGGCTGTTAGCTATTGTGAAGATTCTGCAAGTAAATACATTCTCGCATCTCTGTAAAATTTTGTCTTGCCTATTGATTAGATAAGTCACCATGATGACTTACAATCAGTTAGAGAAAAGCCATATCTGTTACTCAGCAATGGGAAAGTGAATACCTCCAAGACCTCCCCAGTTGTGTGGAGGTCTATTCTTCATTAAAAACTATTCTTCATTAAAAACTTACTTTAAAACTCAATTATTATCTTCTCAAAATATTCCTAATCATTCTAACATATTTTAATTAATATGTTTCTCTTTCTTGTGCAAATATGTATGTGGGAAGTAGGGGGCATATTTTTCCTTAAGCTTGATTTCTAATCTGAAAATTGTGTTGTGCAGGTCTATTACACTCCACTTAAAATACAACTTTGAGGCTTATTTTTCTCCTTTTAACCATTACTATTATAAAATCAATTCCTCCTTAGTCACCATTCTTAGAGGGTAGAGTTTGATTGCTTAGTAGCCAGGCCATATCACTGGTAAACACACACACACACACACACACACACACACACACACACACACGGATAGAGAGAAAGAGAGAGATTCATTTGATTAGTAAAGAATCTGTGGACACTGAATCTATTATTATACGAGACTATAACAAAGTCAGCTAAAATACAAACCTCTTTGTAAAAGTAAAGTTTAGCAACTTGGGAGCCTAGGGTGGGAGGATCCCTTGAGCCCAGGAGTCTGAGACCAGCCTGGACAACACAGAAAGACCCCATTCCTGAAAATAAATAAATTTCAAAAATAAAGTTTACTTATATACAGTTATACTTAGTAATTTTGCTCCCTATAGCGAAAGGAAGCTAAACTATAAATCTTATGGAACTTGTTAGTATTCTGGTAATAAATAGTTAACAATTTTTTAAAATTAATATTCAGTGGAAATAATCTTGGCCAGATGCAGTGGCTCATGCCTATAATCCCAGCACTTTGGGAGGCTGAGGCAGTTGGATCACCTGAGGTTGGGAGTTCAAGACCAGCCTGACCGGCCAACATGGCAAAACCCTGTCTCTACTAAAAACACAAAAACAAGCTGGGTGTGATAGTGTGTAACTGTAATCCCAGCTACTCGGGACGTTGGGGCACGAGAACCACTTGAACCTGTGAAGCAGAGGTTGCAGTGAGCTGAGATTGTGCCACTGCACTCCAGCTTGGGCAACAGAGCAAGACTCCATATCAAGGGTAACGTGAGTGAAATTTGTTCTTAAAAAAAATAAATGCAAAAAAAAAAAAAAAAAAAAAAAGAGAGAAAAAGAAAATAATCTTGATGCTAATATGGAAATTAAAGAGTTGATATTTGTTTTATAGACTATATTTCTCTAATTCAACTTGTACATGTTGAGGCTCTATTTTGTGCCAAGTGCTGTGTCTGAAGTTGGGTTCAGAGCGCAGAACAACATAGGTAAAAGTCCCTGGCCTCTGTGAGCTTACGTTCAGATGGCAGATACAGATGAGTAAAGGTTACTACAATATAGGCTGAATAGGGCTAACAGAGACCACGGGAGATCACCAGATCTAGACGTGGAGGAACAAGACAGGTGGGAGCAGAACACCTGCTGGTTTCATTACTAATGAAAGTTAAGGGGCCGGGTGCAGTGGCTCACACCTATAATCCCAGCACTTTGGGAAGCTGAGGTGGGCAGATCACCTGAGATCAGGAGTTCAAGACCAGCCTGGCCAATATGGTGAAACTGCATTTGTACTAAAATACAAAAATTAGCTGGCAATGGTGGCTAGCGTCTGTAATCCCACCTACTCGGGAGACTGAGGCAGGAGAATCGCTTGAATCTGGGAGGCAGAGGTTGCAGTGAGCCAAGATTACGCCATTGCACCCCAGCCTGGGGGACAAGAGCAAGACTGTCAATTCTGTAGGAAAAACCTGAGCCCACTGTGAAATTCTAGACTCCTGTAGCCTATTCTATGTTAACCTCTTCTCCATATAAGCATCTTAGATTAAGTATGAACAAAACAGAACACATAATCACTTAAATGTCTTTTTCTCATTAGCAATAATTAACCCTTATATCTTAATTTCTACATTTCTCAAGGCAAAAATTTGTCATCCTTGGTTTCTTTCTTTACCTTGTTACCCTCCTTACACTCAAGTGCTCAGAAAGACCTGAATATTCTACCTGCAAAATATATCTTAAATGTGTCTGCTTTTTTCTACTACTGGTAATAATATAATTAGTAATGACACAATATTTATGAAGTGCTCACAATATGCTAGGGAAGAAGAGAGAGAGAAAAGAAGAAAAGTAGTATCTGAGAGGTGAGTGTTGAGAAACCGAAAGAGAAACCTGGAGAAAAAGAAAAGATACGAGGCTGGAGAGAAAAGCGGTGTAAATAGAGCTTGAACTTTGTCTGTAAAGATATGGGGAGCTATTGAACGGTTTCGGCAGGGACATAAAATTATTCATTTATCTCTGATTCATATAAATAACTTTGTTCAAATACCTTTTTCATAGACAGTATAAAATTAAACCTTAGGGTAGCAGGGCCAAATGCTGGCAGAGCCTGAATCTTACACTCAATTAATTGGATTGTACATAGTGCACTTCCTACCGCTTCTTAATTTAGAAAGAATGTGCTTTAATCCCAGAAAAATCCTACTGACAATATATCTTTTGATCCAAAGTTCATAAAGGCTGTTTGCATGTTTTATAGTCCATAAAGTAATTAGTTCAGGAAGAACTGATTGCTTAAAACACTTTTCTAAGAGCAGAATTTTTTCAACAAATAATTTATCTAACACTTTCCTTGTCATTTTCAAAAGCCAAATCTTCTATTGAATTTTTCATATGGAATAATCCTTGATTGTATTTTGATATTTTGGTCATTAAGAAATTCTGCCAATATTTGTTCTTGAAGGTGTTTTTAGCTTAATTTTATATTTTCTCTTATTAATCTAGAACACATTCTTAGAGTCAGTGGTTCTCAGAAACACATTGGAAATTTGTTTAAAATGGAGAGTCTTGCCCTCACCTTC